CCGTAAACCAGACCGGTTGCCTGCCCGATTTCATGGATTTCTTGGGGATGCATTCCTCCATAAAGCCCTGCAATAACGTCTTGAACGCCCCCCACTGCTCCTCTACCGTCTGCCCACGGAGCCGCGACTCCCAGTCGATGCCTGAGACGCATTCACGTAGTCTCTCGAAATTAGCCTTCTTATAGTTGTACGAAACCTTCTTCGGTTTGGCCTTACTCTTCGTCCGCTTGATATTCCACGTGATCGCGCAGTGGTCCGAATCTCCCAAGTTATCCTGTACCTTAACGTCTCGTGCCAGATCGTCGTTCGTCGCAAAAACTAAATCCAATAAAGCTTCCTCGCGAGTCGGCTCATTTACGTACTGAACGAGAAGAGCGTCCTGAACCGCAACGAGAAATTCCCTATCCCTTTCGCACCCCCCTTGCGGCACCGACCAATCTATTTTTGGCATGTTAAAGTCTCCGAAGAGCAATACCTGCTTCGAGATCTCGCTGATCCTACGCATGAGTGCAAAATACGCTGCTTCATCCTCTAGAGAAGAGTTAGGGGGCCTATAGCAAATTCCTATCACAATCTTCCCAGTTGCCCCACCGATTTCGCACCATACTCGTAAGTGTTCGATTGCTCCACAGTTAGCCGAGGTGAGATCTTCTCTGACGCGAACGCCCAGTTCGGTTTTAGCGTACAATACGACTCCTCCCTCCTTTCTGCCAAGCCTATCCTTCCGCAAGATGTCGTATCCTTCGATCTCGAATTCCTTATCCGAAATGTGAGAACCTCCCCAAGTCTCGGTTATTCCGATGACGTCGAAACTGTTGTCCAGTGCCCGCCCCCTGAGCTCGTCTATTTTATTACGTAAGCTGCGTGCATTCGCGTAGAAACACTTGACTCTTCCCTGCCTTTCCTGAACACCAGTACGCGGCGGTCTAAAGCTGCTCGTAGTGGCTGTCCCTTGCTTGTGATCCCTTGCCCCGCCGTCTACAACCCTAAAAAAGACTCATTTTCCTTCATGATAGCCAATCCGACTGCTACAGCTCCCTCTTTCGAAAAATGTACTCCATCCCTAGCCATCGGACTTCTACAACGACTCAAAGCCTCTCTAATGTCCAGAAACACTGCCCCCTCCGCGATACATAACTCTTTCAACCTGTCGTTAACCCCTTCCGACCTGGACCACGTGATTCCTCCCTTGTCTAGCCTGCTCGGGATCGCTCATACCGTCACCCGCACCCCCGATCTTGCCTCCCGACACGCCCTAATAGCCTGCCTCAGCCTGCCCATGATGAGTTCAGAGCCAGACTTGGGAGTATCGTTGGTCCCTATGTGAAGGACCACCGACACTTCCTTGGCTGACTCGGAGCACACCACCGATCCGATCCTATCCCTAATGTGTTCGATCCTAGCACCGGGAAACTGACTGAAAGAAACCTGAGCATCTTTATCCATCGCTCCCTCAAGACGCCTGACGTTCGAGTCACCGAGGATTACAAGGGCCCGAGTTTTCCCTCTCCCTTTCAACACGGCCTGAGCTTGTCCTGCCGACTTCACACCTGTTCCCACCCCGCCCTCCGTTCCCTCATCCAAGCTGACCTCTCTCAACCCGAGAAACTTGTTTTCGGTCTTAATGACTGCCTCCTGGGATCGCTTAACCTCCCCCCCCTTTACGACCTGAGCCCAATTACTAGCCACCTGTGAGTCGGCACTCGACGCGCTGTCAAAGGACGAAAGGGCCACCCTCCCAGTAGAGACAGCTTTACAGAAGGCCATATTGCCATTTGCACCAGGTCAATTTCATTTTTACCCATAAGCAATCCCAAAAAGAAACCATACTAATGTTGCATGAACAGGTAATTTCCTGTCAACTGTGTCTGGGAAATCCAGCCAAAATGCAGGTGTCTGCCAATGGGTTAAGCAGGGCATTTCTAGTAGGTCCCACATACCCCCCCTCTCCCCCAAATGCACTTGGCTAGAAAAGGCTCCCAGTCCTTCTCCCAGCAAATATTTGAAAAAATAACCTCTAACTCCTCAAAAGCAAAAAGTCTCTGGGTTCTATTGATCAACAATCAGTGTTCTGGTTCTCTCAGAAACAGCCTCTTAGGCATTTCAAGTAATTCCTAGTGCCCTCACTCATGCTTCTCTCGAAGTATACTTCCCAGTCGCCTCAGGAGACTAAACTGCTGAAAAAATGTTCAGACATTCAGAAAGAGAATAATCTTGAAATGTGTCAATGCAAAAACCAGATAAAAAAATATATATCCGTAGGGATTCTCTTGAAAAGTTCCCTCAAAGATAAATATAACTTTCATAGAGTATTAAAACTGATTTCCCTGGATTGAATTGTGTTCTATAATTTTTACAGAGAGAATGAGGACCTGAGAGAAACTTTTCAGGACTCATGGGTCATCATGGCTCATTTAGCTAGACCCCATGAGAATGGTCAATTGTAACAATTATGTGGGTCCGTTCAGAGGTTCACATCTCTGATGCTATTCCACATAGAACTCTGTAATTGGTTTCATTCACTTTTTTGGAGGCTCTTTTAGAATACGCTCTCATAGGTTCTGTGATTGAAACTTCTTGATGGTGATGAAATTGATTTGGGAAGGGGAATGCATTCTATGTAAATCTCACCTTGTTGTGCCTGCTGTTTTCCATCCCCAATTCTGTCATGAGAGACACATCAGGAAATTTATGTGTGAATTTTTGCATGAAATCCAATTACAATGTAGAATTCAGGTGTCATCATTAGTTTTTCTGAACCTTTTAAAATTAACTAAAAAATTATGTGTTTCTTGCAACTACAGGGTGTTCTGAAAGTTTTTGACCCACTAAAATGAAGATGGAGATGAGATTGACAGGAATATATTGATATAATTACATTCCACATGGGCAAGAATACCCAACATCAATACTTGATATGATTTCCATGGACCCTAAGATCAGCATCCTGAATCTCTCAACCAACTGAAGGATGACGCTCATCATGTTTGTTTCTCACTCCACTTAGAACCCCAGTAATGACTGACACATGATATATGGGGTGGGGCTGATGCAGAGCACTCTACTGGAACCTGTGCCACAGGTGTTCCAGATGCTGAGGTCTGGACAGTTCCTTGGTAAATTCTTCTAGGCCCATATCATATTCTCTTAAATGGCACGGAATGTGAAGCAAGCCTCCAAGGTGTGGCCTCTGTCCCACATCAGCACAGCCTTTTCTTTGACTGAGCAGATCACCCAGATCTTCATGAGGCCATGTAGATTAGCAGAATATTTTCACTATAACTGGCACAGCATTTAGCCACATCTTGTGTGGGTGGGTCAGAAACTTTCAAAACACCCTGTATGATCTCTGGAGCCAAATTAAACAAGGACAAGATATTTAGATTTTTTGTATCTCCATCTTTTGAAGAACAGCTTAACCTAATTACATGCCTAGGCATTCACTCTCCTCTGACCAAATGCTATTAGACTTATACCATGTCACTGAATCATAAGGCACTTATCCATGATTTTATTGAATACCTCCTTCCTCACAACTATAAGCAGCTTTGAACATTTTTGTTTCAGAATTTGCCTAGTTGTCCTTTTACTGTTCAAAATTGTTGCATTCTAAAACACTGTTCTTTTCTCTTGCCTCATTTTCATTCCTTACTGATTCAAACAGACCAATTTGTCTTTTTCCTGAGCATATTTAAAAAAATTAAAGCATCAATTCCATGAAAGCAATTTTCTCTTTCATGAGCAGTGGATCTTAATTCCAATGGTCAATTTTTGAAAGCTAGAGGTAAGAAAAAGAGGCCAAACCGGATTCGCTCAATATCTTCATCTGATAATGCAGCAACAGTGGGATCTTCATGGTAGAAATCCTTTTTAATCTCAGGAAAATTCTTCCATTTCTTCCTCCGATCAAAAATCTGGCACAGGAGAGAAGGTGAATTTGATACATCAAAGTCCTTAGCCAAGTCATTTTTTTCAAATGGAAACATGGTTATTTAGGATACCTCATGGAAAAAGAAAGATATAACTTTCATTTTATCACCATTACAAATTCTTAGATGAGAATAGTTTGCACATATATGCCTCAAAATTAAAAAAAGCCATCCATTATGCTGTTGTTCAAGCAGCAGCATGGCGAGGCACACAGAGTACATTTAAGCCTGGCCTATCAATAGGCAGAAAGAGGTAACAACACAACATTGGTTCTCTGACAGATGCCAGACAATTCCCCATATTCATTGAGGTGAAGGCAGAAAATTGCCTATTCCCTTTAGAAAAGAGAGGGGATTGAAAAAAGAGAAGACCAGAATGGACAATGAATAATTTGACTTTAACCTATAGGGTTCTCCCTAGATACTAACAGTTATTACAATTTATAAGGCACATATTTAGAAGTGTAGCACAGAATGGTCCCACCCAATATTAATTTCCACCCACATAACTCATGTTCACACAAATAAAAAAAGCTGCAAATTAAAGAGGTGATATTGAGAACCCTTTCTCTGAAAATTTTTTGAGCTTATTGATGAGATTAACTCTAGTCTGAAACATTCCAACATTTATTTGGTACCTTGTGACAAGACATTAGCATCAAATTTTTTGCCATATCTCTAGCCCATGTGCTACACTGCCCTATTTATACTGACTTGCCCACATTAGGTTAGAGCAAATATGGGCAAACCAGTTCAATGTTGAAAACCTTGTACCTCTGTAATGGTATGAAAGTAAACAGCATTACATGAATTTATTTGCATCACACATGATGAGATCCAGTCAGAAGTTTCATCAGAAATATGGACTTTCAAATGATGCATTTTGTACACCTCAGAGACTTTCTACACTGTTTTTGGATTGAATTTGTACTCCCTTCTACAGCGGAGAATGGAGAAAACACAACTTCTAAAGGTTCCACTTCATCAGGTGAAAGATCCAACCACCCCTGTGGAAGACATCACAATGTGCATGCAATGGAAGTACTCCCATGAGGGGTATGAATTCAATCTGAAGACAGTGTACAAAGCTAATATTTCAACTGGTGATGTCTACATAAGAAATTTTGGAACATAAATATGAGATACCAAATACATTGCAGGGAGTGTTTAAGGGATCTAGTATGATCAGGAAGTAATAGTTTTATCTTCAAAATTCCAGATGCAGCTAGAGGGATCTCAGATTAAAGAAGTTTTTGTTGAGAAATGGTAAATTCACTTTGCCCATGTGGAATGATGAAATTAAACCATCAGTAGTGGCAAGTGAAATCGATATAAACATAAGAGGATTAACTGCAAATTGTATTTGGCAACAGTCAGGTAGCAAGAAAAGTAATGTGTGATGACATGTTATACTACCATGGCATTTAGAAGAGAAGTTCATTTTTTTCTTCTCCTTCACATCTCCTTGACAGCATACAACTTTTTATGCTGTTGCAAAGGGAAGAGCCTCATCTTAGTGTCAGCAAGAAAGGCCTTTGTGATCAACACTACAGTATCTGGTGCATTAATAGCATTCTCATGCAACTTCATTCTTTGGTAATATGATAAAAGCAGCAGTTTCACACAGCACAAGACTAGAGACAACACCCTCTTTTTATTTCATTTGTCAAAAGACCTATGAACAGCTAAACCATCTCAAGCAGAATATATATTATTGGAAAGTGGAATTGGATTTCCCCCAGTTTATTACATGATTTGAGATCCCACTAGAGCTATGTAAATTGTAAACACAAAATATTAATTCATGATTATCCACTCATGTTACGGAGCCAAGTGGGATTCCAGATTACTTTAAATCCTTTGAAACTCTATAACATACAATGAAAGCCTGATATAATGCAGCTCATTAAACCACAGATAAGGATATACCACTGGTCAAGTCATGTCCCCCCCCTCCCTCCCCCCAAAAAAAAAACATTAACTTCATGTCAAGTTCATATTGCTTGGTTTTACATCCTTGAGGAGAGAGGTATAGGCCAAGGCATTCTATTTTAAGACATGACCTTGTGAGGGCATCCCCTGTGGTATGTAGAAGCAGGTATGTGGAAAGAAGGGTGCAGTTACTTGGAGTTAGGGGTTTTTCCCAACCTGTTATGGGATATTGCCATTTTTCATTACCCCTCTGTGTTCTGTTTACACTGGTTTAAGCTTAATACTGTAACACATGTTGTAGGCAACAATGGCCAATGCTGTGACTAATACATGGGAAACACCCTCTTTTTCACACACTCGTGTCACAAGATAAAGCAACTACACTGTAGTTCTCTTGTTGGTGCTGCAGTCGATTCATAACAATCAGGTGGTAGGAGTTAGTTAGTGCAATGGTTATGAAGAAGGTGAAAGAAAAGCCTTACAGAAAGAAAAGCCTTACATAATCAATCGAGTGAAATGTGGTGAATCAAAAGTCAGTTTATCCAAAGAGCATGGTGTTTCAGAGGGAATGATACAAGGATGGATGAAAGAAGATGAAAGATCATTTGTTTCTCAATTTGTTGATTTGGCTGTGTAGTTTTAAAGTACTGCACCTATTGACAAATACTTGTCTTGTGTCATTTTTGCAAGTATGTACCTTACAAGTTGGTTATGCAGTTGGGCTATAGGCACTTTAAACGTTGTTACACCGTAAAGACATTTGTGCAGTTCATCGATCTCCCCAAGTGCATCTTCCATTATAACACAGGTAGCCTATAACATGCATGTTATTCATGTACCCTGATGCCCACATTATATCAGGCTTTCACTGTATTTATGGGTTAAACTTCAATATCTTTACACCACTACTATAAATAAGACATGACATGGCTTCTCACATTCACTGTCACTAACACCAGCTAAAATTTTATCTGGAGGAGAAAAAGGGAAGGGAGGAAAAAAGTGATTCCTTTTCAAGAAGTAGTGACATGGTCGATAAGACTTATTCCTTTTAAGAGCAAATGAATTCTAAATCAGTGAGACTGGGTATCACCCTGAAGTGATCTTGGAAAGAAAGTCTTGCAACACTCTGCACAAATTTTTGAAAATTTTATAACTTTATTGAAATGCAATTTCAGTCTACAATGTAATGATCATTGTTGTCTATGACATATTCCCAACGCACCGGTAACTGCTCGATGCCCTTTGCCCAGAACTCTGGCGATTGAGAAGCGAAGAAACGGCCATTTTTTCGGTCAAACGGTCATTTTCGAGCTGTGCTCGATCGTGGAAGGCCTTGTCCCGCAGGTGATTCTTGAGGGCCCGAAACAAGTGATAGTCGGAAGGGGCCAAGTCCAGAGAATACGCTGGATGGGGTAAAACTTCCTTGCCCAGTTCCGAAATCGTCTGGCGAGTCACCTTCGCAACATGTGGACGAGCGTTATCTTGCAGACGGAGAACTATGTCGCGTTTGGGATACTCTTTTTGAATGACGCCAGCCAACTTCTGAAGTTGAGCAGCGTAGACGACGGCAGTCACGGTGGTAACGGTTGGCAGCAGCTCATTGTACAACATTCCTTCTGAATCCCAGCAACAGCAGAAAAGAAAATTATTCTCGTGGAACCCTGGTTTCAGTTCTTATGGCGG